ATAATAATAATAATAATAATAATAATAATAATAATAATAATAATAATAATAATAATAAAAAAATATTTGTTTTAAAAACAACTAACAAAAATCTATAAAAATGTAAGAAATACGGGGTTACTAAATAGCATTCTTCAAAATCTATATACTAACACTAACCTCCTCCGATCCGGGTAACCGAGATCCCTAAGTCAGTAGGGTCGTGGCGGTCTTGGACGGAAGGATCGCGGGTTCGAGTTCCGTCTCATGCTTGGTTGTGATAGTGCGTGTCTCTGTATGTTTGTGATTGTTCATTTCGTTCTGCATCGTCATTATTATTTCACCTCATTCGCCAGGGCTAGCAACCCTGGGTGTAAAAACGGATTCAGATTGCAAATGCTGATCACCTCATAAAAGTCACGTGCACCTCCCCGCAACGAATATACCTGAGCGCCATTGGTTGCGTGTTCGCGTGGTCCCCAGATGGCCAATTCGCGGCAAAAGAAAAAAAAACACTTCCCAACACTGTCATTACAATTTATAATAGTTTATTGGTTCTTAAATAGGCCTCCGTCATTAAATTATTTCCCTCGCAGAATTGCAGCTCACCATACCTTATTAGTTCGTATCTGGTGGCGGAATTAAGATCGAATCATATTTACAAGCATCGCGCGTGTAAACGACGCTCCATTAATTAATTGGTCAACGTTATAGAAACTTCAATTTAACTCTACTAAATCAATTGCTACCACATTCTCTTCAACACAATTCGCCTCTCCTCTATTACATATAAAAGTAATATAATTCCGCGAATTTCACAAAATCAATCATTTAAATACGTGGGGCTAAACGTCGACACAAGGATCGCATACAATATTGAACGTACACAAATCTCACACAATATTAAACGTACAGCAAGCAAAAATCGAAATAGCTCAAGTAAACCCCTCATTAACTTTGAAAGCTGTACATCCGTAACAAATGCTGTTGCACTTTACAAAGAGGTAATTATGCCCTTAACTTTGTATGAATGTCCTACACAAGTCTGGAGCAACGAATCAATACCAATATCAACAAGCTCCAAATAGTACAAAGTAGATTCCTCAATCTCGAAACATTGAAATTGGCGACCTCCGGAGATTCATGGTCGGTGCCGGCCCATGCCTGCACGCTTACGCACGCTCCAAGATGTATGATATTATATTTGTCGGGTCTTCCACGCACGGTGTCTGCAGATGTCAGTCGGCATTTCTTCTCGTGGCTGACCAATTATCCTGTTTTGGTTGAATCAGACGAAACTCCTTGAGTGTATAATGATTCCGGGCGAGCCAACTACTAAGATCCTTAGTCCGCTAAGCGTAATGCAGGTTATGTCCTTGGAAGTGTCAGTGTTCCACCCCCCCCCGCTCGAACGTGAAATCCGGCGCCAACTTACACGGCAGCTAGGGACGATTCGCGTCCAGCGGACTCCGCTCGAGCCGGGACAAGCTCTAAGCACCAAATGGGTACCCTGGTATTATGTGCGGTAGTGTAGTGCAGCTAAGTGTTGGAGAGGGAACACGTATGAGGAAGGAAAGGTCGCGCGCGGTCCCAGACTAGTTTGTTAGGGCACTGCTTCGGTATTTACTTACTTATTAATTAGTACTGGTCAGAGGAACCACGGAAAAATACCTATTAGAGCAGCCTAATTTTCTTGGGAAAATTGGGCACATCTCTATAGTCAGTATCGAAAATCCGCTACCGCCGGGTCTCAAACGTTAGGGCCTCCCGGTGAACGATGGTGCGGAGGCAACCGTGTCGCCGTTACACTCGGACGAAAATCCATCCCCTGTATTAGAACCCACTCTGCCCTTCGTGCCGCCAACAAGTGCGCCCGAGCCCACTGCCAAGCGGCCTCGGCAGCGGGACGCATCGCGCTCCTCCATTCACCTTGGCTCATGCGACCCGCACCGGCGCTCTTGACCTTTCCACGCGGGCCCCCGACCGCCCGCCAGCGCATCGTTACGGAGACGTGCTTTGAGGTGTTTTCGCAAAAATGAAACTGAAACACTAGCTGGGAATGTTATCAGCGAAATAATACAGTGCATTCAGGCCATTAACAATAAATTATAAGACACAAAAAATGTGATTTGTTTATTACATTTCATAGTCAAGTTACAGTCGAAACCGTTGTGTTCAATAAGTGAATTATTAATCGCATAAACTGGCAGTGCTACAACAGTGTACTGATATTATCGATGCATGTGTATGTAATCGATATATCGATGCATGTAACGTAAATGTATGAGTATGAACTGAATACTACGAGTGTAAATTATGTCTCCTAAATGCGATCTAAACTTAAGCAGCTCAATGTATAACATGTTCTAAACCGCATATCACAAGCCAAATGCAATTGATTAGTACAAAAATAGTATATAACTCGCATTGGTTATATCAATGAACAGCTCAGAGTAGCTTTCATCAAAATTGTTTGGCAGAGAATTGATAAAAGAGAGTAAAGTAAAATTTAACAAATTCCCATAAGAATTTAAAAAAGTAAATTAAACATTTATTCTAAGACAATCCTCTATAAAGAGAGAAGTGATTGATTTCAGAAGAAAACTGTTTTGAAGTCCATTTTATGTAAAATTGAATATGATACTTCATTGCATTCAATTGTTGATAGTTTTATTCATCATTCAACTATTAAAAGGTGGAGAAAAGATCTTGGAGCTCAAAAAAATCTGTACAGATTATACTTCTCCCCCATACATCACATAGAGTTTTTACTGCTCTTTGACAAAATAAATCGAATAAATTGAAAAACCAAAATGAAATATCTCGCAGCACTTAGCAAACAACCAAAGATAACTCAAATTACAATGACTCGTGCCATACATTGGTAACAATTTGAATATGTATCATAAGTAACATTCGCATTATATGAAATATATGCTTGAAATAAAGTGTTAATTTTTTCGAGTGGAAAATATACGTGTGCTAAAAGTAGACCGCTCCCGACAGGACCTGTTTTGGTCAAACCTGTGTTTGACCTGTAGGTCAAAAGGGTGACGCTGTTTACTGACGGAATTGCGATAGAAGCAGCTAAGAGTATAGCGCTATTAAAATATGTAGTCATTTCATCCACATTGCCGAAGGGGCAGGTTAACATTATTTTGTAATGTCGACCAGTCAGCACGATGCACTACCCATTGAGGGGGCGAGCAAACCCACGGCGAAGTTGATCGATGTGCACAATAGTGGGGAAATTGTCGCTTCCATACACATCTTCTAATATGGTCCACCGCATAGTAGTAGCGAGTGAAGGGCTGCAAACGGCTACGTCAATAGTCGAGCTCGAATTTGTAGCTATGGCGAAATGTGTTGGTTCACCAGCATTGAGAATCACCGGATTAGTGGTGTTGGATGATAGACTCCAAAACGGCGCTCCATTGACAAGTACGGGAAAAACCCTAAAAAAGACTGTGGACGTTTACATCACCAATAATCGAGAAAGGTGTGGGCAGTTGCTTTATTATGCCTAGAAGGTCATCGAGTGACACCGTTTGTCCTGAGGGGATATTGATATTATACCCGGTGAGTGTGAGGGATTGGAGGTACACTTGCGTACAAACTGTTTAAAAGTCGGTCAGTATAGGAGAGCAGCTCTGCAGAAAGCAGTGAGTCGTGAACCGAACCATGAGCACGGAGGCTGTCATCGGTATCAACCCTATATGGTGTAAAACCGCGAAAGGATAGGAGGCATGGTTGAACAAAATGAGTCCTCTAAAAAAGTGGAAGGCGTACAACAGGACAAGAGTTTTAGTATATCCCGTTGCAGAAAAAGAAATCCCATTAAGCTTGCCATCACCGTCTTGGCCAGAGCACGAAAGAATGAACGCCTGAGATCTACAGGGTTCTTCGCCAGGTATCAGCGTTTCACCTCAGAAAAGGATACTTTCTCCGTCACTTGGATCTTTTGAATCTCTCTCGGATAGGCAGCGCACTAGTTACAATTGGTCGCATTGTCTCCTTCACATTTAACACAGCAAAGAGGTGATGCACAAGGACCGGCATTGTGCGGGGATTTACCGCTCTTTCCACAAACAGGGCTTTCGGCCATGCATCGTCGACTAAGGCCAAACCTCCGACACTGGAAGCAGCGCAAGGGGGTTACATTACGGCACGTGGAGATGATAAAACCCACACCCAATCCTCTCTGGGAGAGAAGGGAGGTTGAACGTCAGGATCAAGGTGGAAGTGGCGATCTCTCTCACATGCTCCTTCCTCTTGATCCTCAACACCTCAGTGACACCTTGGTTCCTCGGAACTTTCATAGGTGAAGGGTAGAGTAAGTGGTCGCTTCCACTTGGAAGCCGGCCATCTACTTAGTTTTTGAGATCTTTTCGATTTGCTCGTCAGTGCGTGCTTCGAAGATAATGGTACCATTTCTTTGACCTCTTGGACCTTACCGAGCGAGACCTCTATGGCTCGCGCGAGACGGACTGCCCCCCCCCCCCCCTTGAAAGTCTTTCCTTCTTCCGTGCATGCCATCAGAAGGTAACGTGGCTTTTCAGATCTCCATGGAAGAAACTACTGAAGTCAACCGTCCGTTCAAAATGTTGCCTCTCCTTCCGGAAGTGGGCAAGAGGTTTGTTTTAAGCTCCAGAGAATTGAAGCGGATTCGTCCCCGTGCTCCGCCCCCACAATGGAGTCCAACAAGGGGCCCACCCCATTGGAGGGCCAGGTTGGACACGGAGATCTAGAGGAGGGATGACATGGAGATATTGTGGGGGAGGACACAATGCAGTGGATCCCCCGCTCGCCATGGAGTCGACCAGTACAAGTCCTAGCCCGAGCCAATTGATCGGGAGTGGTTTAGCTCTCGACTGCCAGTCTAGAAGAGTCCGAGGACAAATTGTGTTGGGACCTACAAGGTACAGAGACCTTCCCTCAGTCAGGGCTCACCGGTGTTAGCACCGCGATCGAGAATGAGTCTGAGTCTAGACTCCCGCGGCCGGAGTCAGTATTTACTAGGAAGGTCGCAGAATGGCGACCGAAACGTCGGTACCTTCGCCATGGACGCGGCGTCACCCGGACAGCCTAGTAAATAGAGAACGAGTCTACCCACAAGAAGCTAGCGTCGAGGCGAAAGTCGGGAACGCATACGCAGGCCTCTCAACTCTCAGGTGACCCCTTTCCTGCAACATGCGTCGCCAAGTGCAGGAAACACATGGGTCCATCATACAGAGGATAGTGAGGAAGAAAGAGGGGAAAAAGAATATGGGTGACACGAAATGAGAAGCAAGAAGATGAAAACGGAGAAACACTTGAGCCTTCTCTGCATCCCCGTCAGGACATGGACCAACCCACCTCCATGGGATGAGGAAGGAGTTGACTGCCATGCACAAGAAGACGCCACTGAACACGTGCTTCGTCTGTGAGAGGTGAGCAAGTGACAGAAAATGTTAGAGTCAATTACTCCCTACAGCATTATTGAGACAATGCTCGCCAATGAAGAAAATTGGTATGCGCTAGCCACCTACATTGAAAAGGTGCTCTGTTCTAAAATGGCAGAAGATAACCCACACATATAGCTAATGGCAAAGAGAAAACAAAGAAGTAATATAACAGGAAAAGTTCTCCGAGGACAAAAGACATGATGCCATTCCAAAGTAAAGCGAAACTGGTTCCAGAATGGATCTCCAACTGAGGAAAAGAGTCCTTGGTTTTAATGGATGAAAGTCCCCTAATATTCAGGAGTGTGGTCCCTCATGAATGTTAATTAGAATTTCCAGTTTCCGTCATAAAAAATTATGATCTCAGCTTTCATAACCTAGTGTTATTCTCTCCCTAAATCTTAGGATTTTCAAATCAAACGTATAGACAGCACTATGTGGGCCATTTCACTATTCTTCCATCACTTTATTGTGTCTCTGACTATTTTCTCGCCACATGTGGAATGTCATGTCAATTGCTCTGAAGCAATCAGCTAGCCAAGATGGGTTTACGTTTGCGACCAGGATTGCCAGTCACCTGACACACACAAAGTCACTACAGAAAGCACATAGAGACCCGACAGCAGTACTGCTTAAATAAAATGTGTTCCCTGATGCATTGTACCCCAAATTATGTGTGACTTACATTTGATTCCGTGCATTTGTCCATTGAGGAGTGGGAGGGCACTCATCTATTGCCAGAGCTGATACAGGTTTTCAACAAGCTGATGCACTGACGTTTGAGTGGCGATAAGGTTTCGCTGCAGCTGTGGCTATGATAATTTAGATTTAATCCATCTGCCATTAAGATGGTGTCATGGTAGTGTGAGGAAACAGCATGTCGAAGTATTAGAGATATATGTATGGTGCTTGTACTCTCATAAAAATAGACAATTTTCATGTTTTGTGTAACTCAAAAATGATATTTGAGTCACTTTTCTTGTGCATCAGCAACATGTATACACACATTTAAAGAAATTGGTTCATCCAATTAATACTTTTTTTGCATTACTTCTGCATATAATTTTTGACACCGCTTGAAACATTACTGAAAAGTGTTGTGTGAACAACAAAAAAAAACAGAATATACAATTTTCAAGGTACATTTAATACATAACTCTTCATAACTTGCATACAATATTTCTTTTCAGCAAGGTCAAAATAGTAGCTCTGAATACATCTCTATTCTACCACAAATGGGTAAGACACAATGTAAGATGCAAGCGTATCATTAAACACACAGGTCACACCAGCAAAGCAAATGATCTGTGCACCCAGAAATTACAATTAATATTTGATTAATATAAAATGACTTAATGTTGAAGTTATTACGAGTTCTGTCACACGAAGCAACTATTTTTTTAAAACAGCCATCTCAGTCAACAGAGAAACAACTCAAAACCAACTTCTTTCATGTTTTGGTGCTACAGATCTCTCTTCAAAATATTGATAGTTGATATCTGCTTTGAAATATTTTTAAGAATACACATGTATAATAAATTTCATTACATAATAAGGCAAGGAAATGCTTGACTTCTTTGAATAAAAACAGGTAAATCATTAGTAGAAAGGTAACATTTGACTTTCATACATATATTTGTAAGGAATAAGGTATATATGGCAGACCAGTAACCTCTTTATTTGTTAGCATTTGAAGTGTTTCATGGTGACAACAGAACTTGTTCCTTCAAACTGCATGGACAGACTGCAATCCGAGAGAACACATATAATATTAGTTTCAGTATAAAACGTTACCCCCAGTTTCCCAAAAATGAAATAAGTACCTTTACAATGTCCACTCCAGTAAGATTCTTGACAACTTCAGGCACTTTACTGACTATACTCAGAACCTCTGATGTAAGTTTGGCAGCTCCAACTTCTCCCTGACCACTTGACACCATGGTGATCTTCTTTGTTTGGGACAATGGAGCAGCAACTTCAGCTGCAACCTGTCCCAGAAATAAATAAATAACACAAGTAACAGTGTGTTGTTATTCAATAGATATTCAATATTTTATTCAATAGCAAATCACTATGGTTTGCAGTACAGGCTCCTAAGGTAGTAAAGGCACAAAATGGGGTTCTTTTCCCATCTCCAGGGCAGTGAATTATAATGAAACAATGTAATGAAATTCAATTAAACAATGAAAAAGCACTTCAATGAACATGTGAAATGATATGTACAAAACCATTTAGAAACAACTAATGTCTTTGCTAATGTATGTAAGGTAAATTTTTGAAGATTGTCATTGATTTGTTCTTTTGATTCCAGTATAGTGTACGTGATGTGGTAACAGTTGGCACTACTGTGTTATGTGAATGCAAGAGAAGTGTGTGAGAAGGGTAAATGCATCAGTACTTAAGCAGTACAAACAGTCAGTTATGGTTGTCTCACTCTCCCATTGTCATCTTTGTAAAAATGCATGGTCAGTTTATTTGTTTTTATCATGGGAGGCTGGAGTGTTCATTTCCCTGTTGCACAGTGAGATCCAGTGTCAATGTACACTTTGGCTTGTGGGGCTTTCCATATCCAGGTATCTCCCACCACCAGAGCACTGCACCAGCCGGGTCTAGCTCTAAGCTCTCTACGAGTGGTAATGTAGTGCGTGAGAGTGTTTAAGTAAGGGGTGAGGTAGGACGCGGAAGAGGAAGAAAAGTTGGCAATGGTCCACGGCCCGTTTGAAAGGGCACTGTTCAGGCATTCGCCTGGTGTTGATAGAAGTATACACGGAAAACAACTGATCAGGGTATCTGACCACAACAACTGTCATCCGCATAGCAATTAAATTACATAGTAAACAAGACAAAAAGAAAAATTAAATTAAAAATAAAAAATTGTCAAAAGGTTTCATTTTTATTAATCTGTGCACATATATTAAAGTTGCCTGTAATGAGTTCCTTAGAATAAAATAGGCACTTTCCTAACATCTAATACCTGGTATTTAAAGAAACATTTTTTAATAGATTCTCCCTTTTAAGCAACCACCTCTCTAAAAGATCACTCTTTCATGGAACTCACTTAATACAGGTTCTACTATACAAGATGACAAGATAAGCAATGATGATCCAGTGACAACTACTGCAGAAGGGTGATGTGGGCTGTCCGGGTGACGCCGCGTCGCTGTTTTGCCCGGTTGCGGCAACACAGCCTTCAACGCGTCACCTGGACAGCCCAGATCACCCACATGACTCTGGCCACGGAAGCCTACGACTTCATTCAACTACTGCAGAAGGTGACTTCATTTAAACTCATATGATATGCCTTCAACACCAAAGCCTTTCAAGGACAGCCGAGTGTAGAACAGAAGGCTTTTAATTATTTTGGTACTAGGGTAGTGTATGAGTTAAGTTGACAGCAGTGTTAAATGAATGTATAGATAAGTGAAGTGTGTGACCATGCCAATCGTGGCAGTTATTGTTGAGCTATGGACAGAAGTTGTCCACAGTGTAACACCGCCTCAATTTCCATTAGTTTTCTTTTTAAACATATATGTTCGGTTTATGTGTGTATAAAGACATTGACTACCAAATACATTAATGCAATACTACAGTACACTACACCAAAGAACCCTTTCATATGCTAATTGCGCTAATTAAACATAGCTCATTCACACTTAATCGGGATCAGTAAACATTGTTGATAAAAAAGTTTATAATTTGTGGTTAGGTGGGAGCACAATCGACTTTCGACAATCGAAGTGAAAATTCAATTTGACATACATTTCTATTATGAAAGATTCTAAGACTGCAAATAAAGAATTGTTTAGAGTTTTAGTACTAGAATAAGGTAAACCTGAAAGAAGGCTCCTAAAAGCGTGCATCGCAAACTTATTCTCTTTTTTTAGTTTCTATTGATTGTCTGTCATATTTAGGAAAGTTGGTTTATTTCACCACCAACTTTCATTATTTTTATTTATTGGATTCTAATCTTTAACCTGATTGTCTATAATAAATGGAACTTTTTGTGTTAATATGAATCTCTTTTTCTACTTTAACATTCAGTAACTGTTCATGAAACTGGTAGGTCAACATCCAGCAAGTAAAAAAAAAAACCATTACCTTGGGTAACGTCTCCAAAAGCATGTCGACCATTGCTGCTTCCCTGTATTCCTTCCAAGCATCAGCTTTCTTGGCCATCTGCTCAGCTTCTGCACGGGCCTTTGCTTCAATGGCAAAGGCCTCTGCTTCTCCACGAACACGAACCGCTTCAGATTCAGCTTCTGCCTCCAGAATCACGCGGTTTCTATTTGCCTCGGCCAACTTCTCCAGTCTGAAAACACAAACAACATAGAAATATAAAATAGTTTCACCATTGTCTGCCACAGCTAAATTCACCTTGGCCTGAAAACCAGTTTGTAAAAGAGAGATTTTTTTTTTCCTTTTTCCATTAACAGCAATACGTAAATTATATCCACTTTTCTGTAGTAAATGTTAACAGCAGCTGTGCATAAATTACGTAATGCAAATTTGGAGTATTTGGAATACTTCCTCTCATCCCTCAAATGCATCCATAACATGCACTTCAATTCCCCTAAATAAGTATGTAATGAAACAATTTCTGAACATAAGCCTTGCACATATCATCATGGATGACGCAAGAGTTTACTGTGACAATTTAAATGGAGTCTAGAATATACTACGTATCAGTTTTGAAAATTTTCTTTGTACTCTTACAGATTCCATAAAAAAATTAATGAAAAATATTTTCATTTATTGTAACAATTTACATCTAATAACTTTAATTACAATTTTGAAACATTAATTAGTTAATATTTTAATGTTTTATTATAAGATTATAAAAAAGGAATTACTTCAATAAATGATGAAAAATATACGTAAATAAATATCAATGTTACGTAACAATAAACTAATTCCATCTACTCCCATGTAATGCAGCGTAATGTGGTCTCAAACCGCCTCCCCACTTTTCAGTGTTAATTTATGGACAATCCCTAAACAGTAACTACTGTATTTACCCAAATATAAGGTGAAGGTTTTTTTTACTAATCTCATTTGAATGTTGTGTGAATGCATAAATGTTTTTACTTTGCCTTTCCCTGTCGAGATACTAATGCTGACATTACAAATAAGATGGAACAGTATACATCTATAATACCTCAAAGAGAGAGAATCTCAACCAAACCCAACCTACAGAGAATCACAAATAAATGGCATGCAAAACTTTCAGGTGGGTCTAAAAAGACAGCAAACAACCTAATGTAGCGTCGTGCCATGCTCAAACCGCCAGATGTTAAACAAAGGGCGGAGTGATGACACACTGGGACTTTCCGTGGACGTAGCGGGCCCAGAGCAGCTTTGGCGAGGAGGCAATGGGGGCAGTGGGTAGAGCCAAAAGGGTCTATATAAGGCCAGGAGAACAGTGCCCCAGTCTTCTTGTGCTAGCGGCGTCAGCGACAGGTGAAGCGCATGTCTGTGCTTGTAGGTGCACTAGGGCGAGGGGCTGGCAATTAATTGTTGTGACTTGCAAGACACGTAGAAGGTCTCAAAGTAGAGTGGCTTCATACAGGGAACATTGGTGGTATGTTGCGGTGTGGTAGCCGTTCTTAAATTATCTCTTCTTGTAGTGGATCTATTTATTTAGTTTATTGTGAGCAGGGTAGTTGTTAAATTGAGACTACGGTCTAGATTGTTAATAATTCTACTGTTTTACAAACCACTCTCGTCTGTGTTCTATTACACTCGTATGACGCCACACTAGTAAGGGAGGTTGACCAGGCAGAAAGTAACAATCGTATAAGTGAAGATGAAGATCGGTGAAACAAAAACGATGTTGATCATTATAAGGGAGAAGGCAAGCAGTCGAAAAGACTTTTCAATATCAAGAAGACAATTTGGATATTTATGATGACTGAATAGTTAGATTTAGTTAAAAATGAAAACATTTTCAGGAAGCCACTGCAAAATTAGTCATCTTATATTCACAGTTGTAGCAGAATAAATATATAAAGTATGTGATTTTCAGTACATAAGGTCTGATATTCAGAAGTGTAGGTAGTTTCTTCACCTACTAAGAAGTACAAATGTCAAAGAATAGAAGTATACAGTCTCCACAAATTTAAGTATACAAACACAATAGTTCATTCGCATTGATTCCAAATTATTTACACATGAGGTTATGTAAAATAACTAGATTAACACTGCCTCATGGTCATGTTATATAGAGCATAACGTTTATAAAAATGACTTATCAATTGTACACCTGTCCTTCCCACAGAGGTTCACTAAGTGAAGTCATGGGCTTCAGTGGCCAATCATGTACTAGCTCCGAGTTGTCTCAGCCACAATGCACATCAGGTGCTGGTCAGCTAATGTTTCAGCCATGGCCATCTTTTCTTTGCCTTCCTCATGGCTGAAATATCTTGAAGCATCAATCCTTTCACCAACCATCAATCAATCGGATACCAGCTCACAACTCAGCAGTTTCTTATTTTTCTGTACACCCATGTATTGTAGTATCAGATTTTTTTAGCTTGTTGGTATCATATTGGAGTATTTTCAATGCTCACGTACATTCACAGAATTTGTCTATATTGTTACAATTCATTTTTATTTGTTTATAACGATGTTCACTGAATAAAATATATAAAGTCTAAAAAGCCATAGACATTTAGTTTGTTGAATTTATTATTAATTGAAAAAGACATTTTTAAAAGTTCCAAAAACATCTTTTTTTTATTCAATATATTAGCAATGTATTCATCCAATTAACACTGGATCCAACTATGTGAAGGAGTAAAGTTAAAATTATGGTATTATCAACCCATTTACTCTCATTCCCACTCACCCCCATATGCTTTTTTGTAATAAATTAAAACTATTCTTCATGTTGTACATCCCATACTCAGTTTCAAAGTCAAATTGAATGCAACTTGGGAGCTGCAATAATACCACTTTAAAAACTTGCCATTTTATAACACACAAATTGAACTAAAATCTTCAAATGTTCATTGTTTCAAAACAAATTGAACTAAAATCTCTCTTACTTGTATTTTTCAGCCTCAGCTGGTCGACGAACAGTGGCTTCTAGTTCTTTCTCCCGACGCTGAATTTCCTGATCTTGCACTGCGATCTCCTGACTTCTCTCCACCACAAGAATTTGCATCTGTTCTTCTTTGATTCGCTGCTTTGTTTTAGCAGCCTGGAGGTCAAAGGCCAACTCAGCTTCAGCTTTCTGAAATACATGCAACAAACACTATAAATATCAGTATTTTTTGCTTTGCAAGGTCACTAAGATTATATAAATTATTGCAGAAGTTACCATTCAGAAACAGAAAAAAAACAACACAACATGAAATAGTAATAAACAAAAGAACAAATTCAATAAACAAACATGGGAAATGTCATGCATATTAAAAGAACTATTAAAAACTATTTAGATTCTAATTTATATACATATATTTTGCCAACTGAAAGTTGTTCTTGTGTAATACAATAGTAATAAAATAATACAATAACTTTTGAAGAGCATTTTTAAAAATTTTATACTTGAATAATATTCTTAAAATCATCACTAGTAAGTATATAAAAATACTTAATTTACTGAAAATAAAGAATGTCACTATTTTCAGGAAGCAATAAAGCAAAATATAAAATTATTTACAAAATTATTTTTCATTTTGTATGGACATTACAGTCAACATGCACATTCAAGCACATACACACACATCTACAGCATACAGAGTGAGTCACTGCATAATGCTAAGCTAATGGAGAAAAAAAAATATTCAAAGAATAAATTTTTGCTTGAACCCCTTTCCTAAATGTTAATCTTTATTTATGTCCAGGAATAATCACTTATGACAGAATGATTAACTTAACGTTGATAGAAAACCTATTATAATGTAAACAAGAGTGCATCTCAGCACCTGCTTATATAGAAGACCGTACAGGAAATAAGAATTGAGCCATCAGTTGACGAGGAAATGTGGTGAAGATACAATATTAATACATATGCTCAAAAATTAATAAAATAATTTTTTTAAAGATTCAAATTTTGTGTCATAAAAAGGTCTTGAGAAGATATCCCCTGGATCAGCAAGACGGTGGGAGGCACACATTTAAAAATATTAATGTTGGAATAACACGAGAAAAAACAGTTGACTTCAATAAGCAAATATTTACTTTCCATGTCCTTACGCAACAGTCTTTTTGTAATTCTTTTGTATCATAAATAATAT